GTTTGAGAGAGGCGGGGCATAGAGGACCTACAATAATGTACAGTATTTGAAAAATAATGTGTTTTTTGAACATTAAAGCATGTCAACATATTCTGTTACACCAAATACACAAAATAATGATCTTTAAAATAGCATCATATGACCCCTTTAATTATTATTTTACTTTTTCTTTCTTTTACATCACAGACATAAACTTGGCTGAAAATTATTTATAAATTTTTTTATTATTTTAAAATATATATTTTAAAATATATTTTACATTACACTTTAAAGAGAGTTAAAGTTATTACATAATGAGACTAAGTTTTATTTGAACAATATCAGTAGCAAGTCCTGAGTTATAGCGGTTCCTGAAAATGACTCATGCATTCTTATTTATATTGATTTCATAAGCACTTTTATGTCTTGATATTGCCATATTCCTGTTTTATAGTAATATTATCCTTTGATCATGTAAACATATGCATAAGCCCATCTAGTGCATCATAATCAGGTACAAACCCCACACACTCAACGTCCGTCAGCCTAATTAGTGATGACGGCCTGCTCCACTTAATCCCCCCACTCTGCACAGGAGCTGACGCGTTTCTTTCTCTCTGTCTCTCTCTCTCCGGCCGGCCCACAGGGCCTTTGTGTTGGGCGACGACCTTCCGCTGAGCCCTCGCCACGAGCAGGCCAAACGACTGCTGGAAAGAGCGCGTATGAAGGCCCGGTCCAACCCTCTCAAAGCCGACCACACTATCCTACCCGTCCAGAGGGACAACCTGTAAGTTTTCCCGGTCTTTTTCTCTCTAGTTCTCACTCAGCTTGTTGGGGTTTTGGCTGGGGGGGAATGGGGTCTTGGGGTTTTGAGGCTTAGGCATCATGGGAAGGGAGGGTGTCTACATGGCTCTCTTCATATCAAAACCTTCGCCTGCTCACTCTTGAGGATTTGTGAGGGGGGTGTAGATCTTAAACTGTATTATTTGGTGCTGGACTGAATAGTCTTTTACTCTCTTTGGAGACGGGCAGCTGATAAAAGGGAAGGGGGGAAGTGTTTGGCAAATCTCTTTTCAGAAGCAACAGGTGCTGTTTTCTATTTCAGTTTGGCCTATTAATATGGCATAAAGTATGTCATTATAGAGACATTCGTATAAAACCGATATACAAGTATTGTAGAATATCTCTAGTATCAGAGAAAACAAAGATGCCCATTCAGTGCTAGCAGTGAAACAGCTGGAAGCTAATGGTAGTCTGAATTTAAACTTCTAAACTAAGTACACTGGCGTCCTCCTCCAAACTCTTCTGTTATAGAAGACAACCTGAATTATACAATGTGTACACACAGCCGGTGCTTCTAAGTCCCACTTCCCCGTCCAGCGCTCTGTTACGGTGGCCGAGAGAGCTCAACACGCTGCTACTTAAGAAAACACATGCAAATAAAAAAAGACCCAGAAAATTAAGAAAACATCTTCATCAGTTTGACAACCATGGTTAATTTTTGTAAGGGAAGTTGTAAAAGTAAGTTAGCCAGCTTATATATGTTTCACAGTTACAGTAATTGTGTATTTAGGCTAATAATCTTATTTAGGCTAATAATATCCAATATCTGTATTTGGTTGTGTTGTGAGTATTTGCAGCGCATATATTGTCAAGCTGATGAAGATGTTTTCTTAATTTGCAGGTGTTTTTTCTATTTGCATGTGTTTTTTCATTTGCAGCACGTTGAACTCTCTCAGCCACCGTACTCTGTTCTCTACCTCAGCACTTTCACACAAAGACAGCTGGGCGAGCCGCCCCAAACACCTGTCTCCTTGTTTGGTATGAAGACAAGCAGTGTGCATTGCATGGCAGCATCCGGAACAGATTAGGGCAATTTTAAACGTCACAACAAAACCTGACATGCACTGAGAAAACATAAAAAAAAAAATATATATATATAAAAAAATTTTTTTTTAAATGTTTTAAGAAATATATGTAAATAATAAAAAGTCATATTTAAAAGTGAAATTAATAAAACAATATTTAATAAAACAAGCAAACAAACAATTAACTAAAAAATAAAATAAAAAATGTATGTCTATATTCTGGCTTGGATTCAAAAAATGATTAGTGAATAGGTGACTGACAGATTAAAATTCTCCTTTTTTATTTAAACGGGAGCTTTGATGAAACTGCTTTGCCGTCCTGCTCCACTACACCTGTCATGTCTGCCAGCTGTTACTTTCCTTCTCCCTAATTCCCTCCCTGCTTCTCCCTTATGGGGAAAACAGCTCAGTGATGTTGAGTACACTGCTGTCAGCTTGCTTGGGTTAAACTTAACTGCCTCTCTCGAGATTGACTGTTTAAGACAAACTCGCGGCTGTATAAAATCCCATAGGTTTCAGAACACTGCACAAAGCTTAATGGGCATAAAAAGTCCCAGTGCACAATAATGCACCTGTAGATTACTATTCCTGCACTTCTACATTTTAGCAAGCAGGGAATATTGAAAGGAGCAAGTAATGGTTTTCTCATGTTTAACAAAGAGCTGATATCGAAATGCCTGGCATGCTGAAGATGACCTTCCTTAAAGGAGTAAAAAAGCATGTCAGGAATGTGCACAGAGGAGCCAAAGCAGAGGGAAATTTTCCTCAGGAATTTGCCTCTCCATGCTGAGAGATAGTCTGCCGGCCACTTTGGCATGCATCTGTTTCTTTGTGTATCTAAGTGCTTAGGAATGTGACTAATTTCATAAATGTGCATGTGTGAACAGGGAGCTGTTGTCCTGGGTTGGTTTACACCAGGCTCCTCTTGCGGGGAAGGAAGGCGTGGCGGTGGTCTCTGGAAACCTTAGTGACTCATCGAGCGGTGACTCGCCGGGTGGAACCCCGCGGAGACACGGCCAGTCCCCTACCCGTGTGCGTTTCGAAGACGAATCGGAGAAGGACGCTGAGGTACGCTACCTGGAGCGGCTACGCCAGCGGCGCAGGGCTGGAGAAAGAGCGCAGGGGCTGCTGGTGTCCAAACCCACCTTGTCGTCTTACACCAATGGACAGGCAGAGACAGGACATGGCTCGAGTGATTCAATATTCTGGAAGACAAACGCCAAGAAGAGTTTGTTGAATGGCAAAGGCCCTGAGACGGCAAACAGGCAGTGCAACTCTTGTGGAACCTTTCTAAATGAACCCCATGGGCGTAGCTTGAACTCAATTACTCTGTCCTTACCTAATGGGGAAGTCGAAGGGAAGAAGATACCATGTTGGGTTGCTCCCACCCTTCCCAACCGGCTTGTTCGGATCGAACAGATTAAGGAGACATACATTGGGACGAGTCCCGCTATTGTCCACAGCGATGGAACACACTGCAGTCCTGCGGATAACGTGAGCAGTAGGGGAACATTCCAGAAGCTAAAGAAGAAGGTCCGGAAACAAGAGAGCAGACAGGAACCCTTGTACGTCAATGGCCTCAGGATTCCAACACCTCCAGACTGTAAAAATGGAACTCAAATGTGTCTCTCGAATGGACTAGCATTGCCACTCAACCCCTATGCCACGGATCCACTTGGACAGAGAATCCCAGCCACATGCAGCCCCACATCCAGCAAGGGACCTGTGGCACCTCCATTGCCCCCCAAAGGAGAATTATCCAGCTCCCACCTTCCTCAGCCAACCCCTCCGCCTCTCAAACCGAAAAAATCAGCCCTGAAATCCAGCTCAAAGAACCACTGTAATGGTCATCGGAACGTCACACTCATGTCTTCGCCAGAATACCACCTGGACTCCACGGAGGCAGGGGGCGCTGTGGAGAGCTGTTCTCAGGAACAGGCTTCCTCTGGATTGGGTTATTGGGAGGACAGATCTGCGATGGTCATCCCTGGTCCCATACTCATGACGCACCCAGTTCTGTGTGCTCGAAACTCACCCATACAAGGGGAAGAAAGGCTAACAGGTTAGTTTAAGTACATGGACTAATAGCAGTAGTCACCGAGCAGACGGTTTATCCAAAGAAACTTACCATACACCAGAGATGTCCAAACCTGCTACTGGAGGGCCAAAGTCCTGCTGAGTTTAGCTCCAACTTGCCTTGAAGTCTAACGCACCAGCCTGTCTGGAAGTTTCTAGCAAGCCTAAAAGACGTTGATTAGCTGGTTCAGGTGTGTTTAATTGGGGTTAAAACTAGACTCTGCAGGACAGTGGCTCTCCAGGAGCAGGATTAGACACCCCTGTAGTACACTTACAGAGATGCCTAGTTTAAGGGCTCAATGGTGATTGCCGTTTGACTCAAACCAGCAACATTCTGGTTGCTAGCACTGAGCTTTAGTCACTTAGCTAAAATGAGTTTTTCAGCAAGATATACAATGGCACAAAGTCTGCAAATTGTAAAGCACTACTAGCACTTGGTGGTGTTGTGTTACACAAGTGTCCTACCTAATAGAACTTTCACAATTTTTAATGCATATTTGAGCGCACAGCAAAGGTTAAAGTTAATATTTAGCACTGTGAAGTTTAGATTTCAAATGCACGCTTACGTAATCTAATCTAAAAATGAATCAAAGCTTTTCCCAGAATCAAGAAGCAATTCCAGGTAGACCTGTGAGTCCTGCTCCAGTCAGCAAGGTGACACCTATGGGTGAGCACATGTAGGCTTCTCTTCACTGCGTTCCTGTCCCACTGGGGATTGTCCAGATCAGCAGATCCACACTGTCCTGTCAGAGTAATCCCACTGTGGGCCAGTTGCTAGTGCGATCAGCAGCAACTCTCTGCCAGTCTTTTTCCATCTCCTTCAACAATTCTTGTGTGACGCTGCTTGGAAAAGCATTTTGACACTTACGTTTCAGTTACATAAAATGGTCCACTAAAGTTATATTGTTATGATTACCATATTCAATTTACACATTATCAAGATTCATCATGATATTTAATAATTTCCATAGGATGTTTCTTCCATTGTCCTATGATATGCACAGCCACGCTTTCCATTCTTCCTTAGATGTGGACCAGCACCAGAGTACAGGACAGCTGGGATCTGATGCAACATCCAGCAGTGCTGAATCAACCCAGACTCGTCTCAGTGACGGACACGTCAGAGGGCCAATCAGACCAGTGCATCACAGGGCAACTAGCCCAAACTTTTCACAGTGAGTAAAGAGGGAAAGAAAGAGAGGGTGGAAATAATGAATATGCTATGTCCATACCCACAGCTTCCTCCCTTTTCTGTAATCCCCCCCTTTTGGTTAGGACTTTAACAAACCAGATCCTTTACTAAAATATTCAATCCTTTCTCGGAACAATTTAATTTCCGGGGCCACAATCATACCAATTGCTTTGGCACTTGAGGCTCAAAGTAGGTCAGGGGAGATGTGGGCCAGGCTTCCTTATGACTATATATTTGTCTACTACAACACTGCCACCTACTGACCGAGAATCATAATTGCATAAACATTTATACAAAATCAAAATTGTAGTTTATATATATATATTATATATATCGCTTTTATACAGACATTACAAAGTCAAAATTGCACCATAAAATAAAATTAATGAAATGAAAAAAAAAGAAAAAAAAAACCTAATAAAATAAGCCAAAAAGGAAAACAAACAAACACCTTTTTGTCAGTGGGATTTGTTTTTTCTATTATTATTAATTTATTAACTATTATAAAACATGTATTTTTAATAATTAGTAAAAATATTTATTTATTTAAAAAAATAAGACATGCCCAAACCATGTAATATTGTCAATGTGGAGATTAAAATAGCCACACACAAAAAACACTGAAATAACCTTATGACTTACCCTGTTTTTCAGAGCAGGGATGGATGCAGAGCAGCGAGAGGGTCGACCCAAACTCTCCTTGCGGCGGTTCTTCTCTGCCATGGGGCTGAACAGCGTGGGGTTGCTGAGAAAAGGACGATCCAGCAGCATGGATCAGCTCAGCTTGCACCCCAAACCCAACTCAAACCCAAACCAAAACGCTCAGCCAACCTCACCCTCCACCTCCCCCAGCCCCACACACAGACACCACCACCAGCTGAAGAAAGCCCCCTCACTGCAGACTATACGCCTGGTTAGCATCTATAAAATAATATCAACCTTCAGATGTCCTTCAAAAAACATCTATAATTTTTATCATAATTTGAAGATACAGTTACATGGATGTGTCAATATGCTACTTATTAAAATTTCAAGAGAGCGGCGCTGACTGTCATTTCTCACCACTAGGGGTCTCCGTTTCTCCAGCTGAGGAGATCTTCATCGGCTCAAAACCTCCAAATCCCCAGAAAGAAAACAGACCGTTCCTCTGCATACACTCCAGGAGAACAGCCCTGTAGTCCTGTATTAACCAGGTACAGTAGTTACACAACTTACAAATGATGCATCACTTCAAATTACACCAAACAATATAATATAATATAATGGTTCAATGATACTACCATGCTTTCAGGCACCATCATGATAATATAATATATACAGCTGCCAAGAAATGCATTGTTGTATTGACATTTATATTCATACATTTTTTAAAAATATCATAATTGTTTATTTTTTTCAGGGTTACATTACTTGACCCGGAAAAAAATTACTATGGATTATATAAAACAATTATAAAATATAAATATTTGTAAAATTTTATATATATATATATATATATATATGCTATTAAAATATACCTTTTAGTGTTATGAACAATGGCAATTTGAAGCATGACATGTTCTGCAGAGCACACATCGTGTTCCTGTAATGTTCAGACAGCTGTCGTGTTGTGCAACGAGATAAGTATTTTCCATTGACTGGGTCAGCAGCAGCAGCAATAAAAAGAGACAGAGAGGGAGGGAGGGAAGATAAAAATAGAGGTGTGTGTATCTGCCAAAGAAAGACATGGAATGCAGGGAATGATCACTCGTCTACATGCTGCTGCTATATTCAGCCTCTTGTGTGTGTTACTAGATGCTGCCAATAATGACAGTTATGAGAGTCATATTGTCTGCTTTTCTTATCTCGTCATTGACCTATATCAAAATATCATAGTATTATTTACTGTTACCATCCCTGTACTATGGTAACGCCAACACCACAGTAATATTATTTAAGTATTATTTCATACACATGCACACCACTTGATCTCAATAAATCTGCCTGTTTACCTCTTTGTAACCTTTTAGTGTTATGAACAATGGCAATTTGAAGCATGACATGTTCTGCAGAGCACACATCGTGTTCCTGTAATGTTCAGACAGCTGTCGTGTTGTGCAACGAGATAAGTATTTTCCATTGACTGGGTCAGCAGCAGCAGCAATAAAAAGAGACAGAGAGGGAGGGAGGGAAGATAAAAATAGAGGTGTGTGTATCTGCCAAAGAAAGACATGGAATGCAGGGAATGATCACTCGTCTACATGCTGCTGCTATATTCAGCCTCTTGTGTGTGTTACTAGATGCTGCCCTTTAAGCATGTGTGTTTGGGTTGCTCACAGTGCCAGATAGTGTGTTTGTCGCCAGTGTTGTGATTCGATAGTGCCTGTCGTGTTTATGAGTGTGTGAATGTGTGTCTGAGTGAAGGAGAGATAGCCAGAGAGGAATTCCAGCCCCAGTGACTGGAGAAGAGCTGCAGCTTACATCATCCTTCTTGAGAGCCAGTAAGAAAGCAGAGAGCCGCTACAGAGACATGCTATAATTGGCTGTTCGCTTGGATCTGACACAGAGAAAGGGAGATAAAAAGACAAGCTGAAATACAAGGAGCAAACACTGCGATACGTCTGGGAACTATCATTATATGACAGGCTTCCATGAAAAAATTTCAGAGTTAAAAAAATACAATTCTGTACAATAATAAATATTAAACAGTTTTTATATTATATTCTT